AGACACAGGTCTCCAACTAGACTCTGCCAGTAAAGGATAAGTAAGCACTCTACAATACACCTTACCTTCGTGTCCAGCATTTCAAGGCTTTTAGTGGGCGAGGGCCTACAGGAATATCGGAATCAGCAGACCAAATGCAATTATTCTATTGTCTGCATTTCACCAGCAACCAGCTATAAGTATTTTCCTACTTAAAGAATTCACAGTAATGCTATTGTTCCTAAAAATAACATTATCCAAAATGTTCTCTGCCTACATTTTTGTGCCACGCTTATGCTGTACAGCCTTGCAGAAACACGGATTTAAAAAAAAAACCCAAACAACTAATTTCTACAGTAATAATCTAAAACTCAGCACAAGCCTTTCTCAAGGCTTTTCATGCCATGAATTCGAATTTCCACCAAGTTTTCAAGTAGCAAGGTCAAAATGACTGACTGTCCACGCACACTCTCTATCAAAGCATCTCCAAGAAAGGCTGCTGGTACCACAAAGAGCCACCGCATCCAGAAGATGGTTCTTCAAAAGACATAGAGGAAGTCAGTTTGGTTCACATTGATGCAATACTCACCGTAGCTGCACAGGTTGAATGTACTCTTTCCTAAATCTTTTTAACTCTGCACTAAGAGGTTGGTCTCCATTCTCCATAGCAATACGATCAGCTTCTGTTGGCTCAGGCTCTGGAATTTCAAATCTAGCACAGAAGATGGGTATAAGCACCAGGTTCCTGTTACACTAATCTTGCTCACAGCATGCACAAATAAAATGTTGGTTAAAGATAGCTCAAAACTCAGAATATTTCCACATGTCAGAATCTTATGTCTTGGTAAGCACATAGGAAGAGTTGTTAAATTCAGTAATAATACAGATTTCAAAGACAAACCTGTGGGATGCTGGAAGTTACTGGAGCTGCCTGAACAACCCTAAAGCTTCTAGGTATAACTCGTACATCTTACTCACAATCCTTGAATTTGACAACTTTTTAAAAAGTGTTTGGAGTGAATCAAAACCAAATGGAAAACAAGAACCTTATAAACTCTACTTAAAGTAAAAATAAAAATTTGCACTTTGTATAAACAATATTTTTAACAGTGGCATACCTTTCTATTAGCAGACTCAGCAACTCTTGAGGTTTACAGAAGGATCTATATGTTGTGAGAAAAGTCCGAACAAAGTTGGGATCTAAGATAGAGAATAATTTTATGCTCATGTCAGCAATAACCTAACTTTTTTAACATGTTAAAATAACTTTAAGTATCTTTTAAAATTAAAGATGCTGGCCTATCACTTTACAGAGAAGATGATGTAAACCAAAATTGCTTTGGTAACAACTCAGAACCTCTTAAAACAGCAATACAAAGCAGAATTTAAAAACAATTTTTATTCCATTGAAAATTCAAAACAATGACTTTTTTTCTCCCTTCAATTGTTAGAAGACTGGATTATTTTTTAACAACTTTGAAAATAATAGAGAGATGATCTTATTTACGAGCCACCTAGTAAAAAACTTTGGTTTTGACAATGATCAGGACAAGATAACTCAAAAGACACAGCAAATAACTTTGCATTGGCTAGAAATGGCCTCTTCAAGGGGAGAATGTTTTCCCTAAACTGGTACAAGTGATAACCAGTCATGGTTAAGGCAGGTTAGATATTTTTTCAGCTAACTGACAGCTAAACTTTGAGGTTTTATTTATTTCACTTCAAGAAAATAACCAATTTAATTTAAATGGACTAATTATGTATCAGTTCATTTGAAACATTCAAATGCATTTTTTAAAAACAAGCAAATATCCAAAATAGAAAACCAAAGTGTCTCACTTAATTGCAAAAGCAAAACCATTTGTTTTCAAGTATGAGGAAATGCAGTGACAGCACGCTGGCACCGCACAGAGCTGACTAGACACAAGGTTAACATTGTTATCACTAAACAAAATTAATGAGCAGGTTGCAATGGTTTTGTATAATAAATCCATATACAGATTTTAAAAACAAACCCCAGTTGATAATTTTTCTAACACAGAGTGGCTGAAGAGGAGCACATAGGACTTGAAGCAGGAGTTCCTATAGACTGTAATGGAGAAAAAAACACCTGCATTATTTGACCTAACACTATATTAAGCCATTAGACTTGTTTCTTGGAATATGGGTCTTTAAGAGTTTTGTTTTTTTTTTTAAAAAAAATCCTCCTTAACTATCTACCAGCATCTTGTCCATTTGAATGAACGTTCTACCTTTCTTAGACCCCACTAAACTGTTCGTTTGGGCAACAGTTCACTGTAATGTGTCACACACATTAACCGTGTATTGTGTAACACAGTATTTCCTTGTATTTCTGCTTCACACCAATTCCCATTTCTTAAACAATTGGCTATTCTGCTTTACCATTTGTGTCCTTCATTATTCCATTTTTCTTATCATATCACCTCTCCTTGACACTGTACAGTTTAAAATCTTTCTGAAAGGCAAAACTCTAAATCCTTTTACATGAAGAATGCCACCCCTGTCCCCATCATCCTCATCATGAAAATACTTGATTTCTGTTGTCCTAAAAACCAAGTATAGCAGTAAGCACAGTAACCTATGTTTTCACAGTTTTCTGTACACAGCAGCCACGCTAAAAGATTTTGCCTACGTGAAAAAGAAAGCCCTCATAGCAATCAACATTTTCAGATCACTGCAAGCTCTGAGTAATAGCTATTGTTATTTACAGGTAGGGTCAGCGTTTAAACCCAAAACTGAATTTCAAATGAAGCAGATCAGAAAACCAAATCTAACCTTGTTATCTTACTAGTAAAATCTGGAACTCAAAATAGTGTACAATATATGAGCAAGCGTGAAAAAAAAATAAATACAGACAAGACTGGTTAGTCAGGATGTCTGCTCATGTGATAATTCTCTCTTCAATACAGCCAGTTTGAAAGCTAAAAAAGAACAATAACTTGTTCTACAAGGATTTATAAATAATCACCCTTGAATTCCTTAAGAAAGGAAACGGACACTATGATGACGCACAAGCACTCGTAACATATCAAAGCTTTAAAAATAGAAGAGCACTGCCCTATAGATAAAAAAAAAATTGCCACGACTTTCAAATCTTGGTACCACCTAACCCAGCTGCTCTTAAACAAGAATCAGGCAAAGGAGGAGAAAATAAATGCAGAAACACGTGAAAAGAAGTAAAACCCACCAGAATATGCAAGTAGCATCAGAATCTGAATTTCTAATTGAAGGGCAGTTTCTCTCATGTCAAAATATATGGAAATCTGCTTTTGCAGAGGAGATTTCTCCCCGTTTTGCTGCTCCACTGCAGGATGGTTCGGACAGTCTGCTGCACCCTGTGGCCAGGTGGCCATCAGGGCTCTCTCCTTGTCCTAGTTCTTCCAGTGGCTAGATGCCTCCTCCCCCCACATAACTGCTTTGTTAAGAGCTGGGCTACCAGGCTGTCCCTGTTCCACAGTCAAACAGAGCAATATTTCAGCTGATGAACTGGTTTGTGCATTGTCAGGGAGGTGAGGGAAGATAAAGAAAAGGTCCGTCACCCATATCTACAAATGAGATGGACTGTGTCACAGACGACACAAAGAGACCTAATTTGATTACCATCTGAACACAACCCATATGCTCCTCAATATGCAACTAACTAAACTGCTCTTCAGCTACTTGCAACAAATTGGTACCGCCTCCGCAATTATATCTGTAATTATTCCTTATAGTATTTGACCTACAAAGATAAAAACCCTACAGAAGAGTCACAGCTACGGTAAACACAGTCTTTAGACTGTCAGATCAAGGGCTGCCATAACCAGTCACACCATTACTTGAGAGAAGTCACCTCAGAAAATGGCTTGCTATCCTCTCATATGAATATAAAGTCAATAAATTATTTTAAGATTACAATCACACATACACAATCCTACGTGCAAGAGAAGCATTTCTACAGTCTGTAGCTGTTTATACCATCAGAGTACTCATCTTCTCATGTCTCCAAGCAAAACAGAACCCAGCTAATACAAGTACAAAAGAAGAGCTAAAAGGTTACTATGGAAAGTTGTTGCCCTACTCACTGCACCTCATCAAATGCAACAGAACGCTGAATGATTTATATGGTAAATGGACCTTGTTTCCTGTACAACAGAGTGTTTTTGGCTCATTCACTGTATCTCTATTTCTTTGTTCTCCTGGAAAAGGCAGCACAGAATGGCTAGAATGATGACATTTTTCCTCATGGAAAGAAAAAACCAAACAATTATAAGACAGAAGGTAGAGAATCAAAGATCAGGGTGTTGAGAAATGACATGCAACCCAACAATTCAGCATCAGGTCCATGAATGCTGCACTAAGATCTTTAAGGCTCCAAAGACAGACTAAACACATCACAAGACAACCATTTTTATTCTTCTGGCCTAAGTCTTTCAGCCTATCTCGCAGTCCCCATGTTCTCAGGTTTGTCATACAATGGTTTGGTCAATGCCACACATGTTAGGCTTTGAGTAACCTAAAGCTTTATTAAATAGGGGCTGTTGCAAGCAGGGATTTAAGTGACTTCGGATGAAGGTGGATCTAATCAATCCATATGAATTCTTCCTTGATGTTCTACGTGCTAGAAAGGCCAAAAAGACATGAAGATGCAAAAAAACCAATACAAGAGGTATTTCAACAAGCCACATGTTCCTTCCAAATAGGCCTTTCTGTTTTATGGAACTGGAGAATGTAGTTTGTGGCTCCACGGACAGAGATGATGTGTGGAGAACACGGCCAGCACCCAGAGCAATGCCAAAGGCTACAGCACCAAAGTCCCAGCCCGTACAAAAAACAACAATTCTCAGTGGTGTGCAAGTTAGCCAAAGCAAAGCAAATGTTCACAAGGGCACTAATGAAGTATTATTTTTGCTAATTCTTTGCCAAATACAATGCCAGCTTAAAAAAAAAAAAAAAAAGTCTTCCTTTCTCTAAGGCTGAATTGTTTTATTTTAACTTCCAAAACCATAAAGTTATGTCATAAATCATGCCTGCAAAATTCAAAGTTAAGAGCTAAAGGTTTATAAAGTTACAAGAAAATGAAGAAAGGCACAAAACTGCTTTGGTAAAAACTGTCAGCACCATATTGCATTTGGGTTTCTAATAAATGTTAGGAAAGCCCAACCAAAGAGCAATAAAAGAAACAGAGTAAACAGATGTATTTACAAGCATTTTAAAACTAAACAATTTCTTAAAATATATAAGAATACCTATTTTTTAATAAACATATAAACACTAATTATTATTCTACTTGCTCCCCACTTCTTCCAAATAAATATTCCTGGTCTATGCAGGGTATTCAAGACTGAGCTGCAGAGAATAATTTAGGATAATCAGGGTATAAAGAGTAAAAAGAAAGAAAAAAAAAAAAGAATCTATAGTTGAATATGAGAAGCACTAATGCCAAGATGAATGAAGTTTTAGAATAACTGACATACAGGCAGAATCAGAAAAATAACAACAAAAAAAAATAACCCAATATCCAAACCCAAGCCCATGCTTTTCAGCACAGCTTGTGAAAATCCTGGGAAATTATAAAAAAAAACCAACCTCCACACACTGAGGTTGGACCACATGAGCACATAAATGCCTTTGGTGTATCTTCAATGCAAACAGAAACTCAAAGTCAAAAGTCCTTAAATCAAATCCTCACTGAAATTCTGATTAAGGTGAAGTTCTGAGGTCGCATTATGCAAGTGATTACTTCTAGCAAGCTGATGTTCAGTCTTTTCATTACACTCTAGCGTGGACACAGGGATAGAGTACAACCCTCAACTGAAAACACCGGGCCCATAATCCTCTCCCGTAATGTCAGCGCTTCACGTGCCACCCAGCTCTGGAAGTCCTGAGAGAAGGCAATTCTTGTAGCCTGGGGCACACAGGAAAAAGTATTGTCTAGAGCTCAGTTCCTGCAGGCCCCCACCCCTCCATCCCTTGCAGGAGAATAATTTTATACACATGTATATCTCACTACATTCAGAATTCATATTTTTTAACTGCCACAGTGGGTGCATATTTAGATCTTAAAACCTTAACTCAAAAAGCACGTTAGAATATGTGCACTGCAAAGCATATTGGCTTTCT